ACATTCAGTAAGTATTACCATCGGCTGAATATCGCTGGCTTAATCACATGTATCGAGGTATCGATGGAAAGACTTGGAAACTTTATATATGATTATTTATTCGTTTGTTTGTTTATAAACGGTTTGAAAATAGAAGTGAAATTTTACAGAGACATTTTATCGACGGACTTGTGGTTAGCTGAACATGGTAACGTGGTTTAGAATTCAATCTAACGATATATATACACATACACACACACACACACGGTTGTGAGGATATACGTTTAAACAGAAAAGTCTTCGTACATCTTAGAATTTATTTTGCGTTGCGTTTTAACCTCTTTAGGGACAATTTTTTAAAAGTTAGAAAATATTGATCTAAATTTTTATGTATACTCGTGTTAAATCGATAACCATTAAACTACCTTCCTCGGGAGATTTTTCGAGATTGTTTTGCATATTTTCTCTATAGCAAACATTGGAATTTTCGGAAAATTTAAAGGTACACATACACTACCGGGCAAAAGTTTCGAATCACCTCCCCACTGTTTCATCGATATTAAATCTGCTGCTAATTTTTTATAGATTTCAAGTTTATCTCAATTCTACATGGTGGGCGACGGGGGAATAAATATACGCGTGGTCACGCTTGAAATTCTTTATTGCGAAAACGTGGTGAAATGTCTCGTGCCTTCGCGTCGTCGGTCGGGACCCTGGCTGCCCTCGGAACGGATCCCAAGTGCCCCTCCGCTTTCCGAGGGCAGCCATCGTTATCGGTCCGCCACGACATCGACGCCGACGAATGACACGTCTGTTGCGTGCGTTTCGCCGTCTGAGTCGTGTACACAATGTGGCGACGTTCGCACTGCACGGGCCGCCACAATCTCGTATCGATTGATTCGAATGATAAAAAATTCTCAAAGTCGCTGACTTTTTTCTGGAAATTGCAATGCTCGGTGATTCCAAACTTTTGGCCCCTGAAGAGGTTAAGGGAGGAAGTTGCAAATTGGTAATATTTACGTTATTTCTTTTTAGAAAAACAGTTGAGGATTAACCCTTTCGCTACGGCAGATTTTGACGCGTAATTTTTTAACGTTTTAAAATTCGGTTGATCAAATTAATGTAAGCACAACTTAAATGAATTTAACACAGGATAGGGTATTAACCAAAAATGTATTAAACTATAGTTCTAAGCGAGTGCTAAGTGCTCCGGTGTCCGTCTCGCTCGACGGCTATTCCCAGAGTGTCCTCTCCGCGTCGTATCCCGTTGGAGCCCCCTCGTTCGACTTCCGGGGAAAGGGCTTAGTTTATGGCACCCTCAGGTACCCACGCGCTTCCTCTTCCTGGGTGACAAAGTCCACTTCGCCGCCGGAATCTCGCATTTCTTACATTAAGATGCAAGTGTAAGGGGTTTCATATTTATTTCGTCGTTGACTACGCGGCTCAATTTACTTTCCTGCAATCCTTACAATTCTCACAATTCTTATATTCTTATATTTCTGCCCGCAGTGCTCCTAACGCGTCCTTATATGCTCTTCTGCCTTCGGGAAACCCTGGCGCAAGTTGGGGGTTTCTACCCGGCAAGGACCGCGTCGCGCGAGCACGTGGCTGGGTCCTTCCTGACCCAGCCCTTAGCGCGTGGTGGAGTCAAGCGTTGGGACCGGGTTCCTCCGCAGACCGAGAGGTCTGCGGGTCATAAACCGGCCCGAGTCCCTACCTTCACTCAACCATACTCTTACACAAGTGCGTGAAGGACAAAATGAAGTATTAAATTAAGGTGGAAGTGCAGCAAAAGGCTTCGAAACGCCTATAGGCGTCACTAGTAACGAAAGGGTTAAGGAAGAAGAATAACATAACAGAAACGAGATGAAACAAAGGCAAAAATAAGTTAATTTCGTTCGCAGTTTCCCTTCGTTTCAATATTTCACCGCGATATTAACCACGAAATACCAAATTTCGCTGAAACATCACTGCAGAAAAACCTAGTTCGTTGTCGTAAATAATTTTTAATTTATCATCGCACGATATCTGAAGGCGAAAATTCCTGTCGACTCTGACTCGCCACAGGACCGCAATAAATACGTTTATTTATTTAATTAACCAATTAATGTTTAATTATTTTCTTTTACACCAATAGCAAATATCACATTCCTATACATTACAAAATAACGTAAATATTACTCGTTCAACATCTTCCCCACAAAAGTCATGCAACCCTAACTAAATTCTAACGAGGCTTTCTCACTATCAACGTAGTTGCCGTTAAATCTCGTTGCCGGCACAGAGAATCTATCGTTGCCATAATAATCAGACAGCGTTGTAACAGCCGGTTATAAAGATCCGGCTCGTTCGGATAATCGAGGCGTATATAGGCGATTACGCGAATCACCGGACGATTCCGATAACGCGATAACACGCGTTACCGCTAATTATTAATCGAACGTAACGATTGTTCAAGACGGTCTCGATCCGGCCTCAAACGAGAGAACGTTAAGTTTCATCCTGTATCACGTACATACATAAATACGTTCGCTCGAATCACGCTCGTTACCGAATCGTAAACGTGATCTGATCGCTCCCGAGGAACGATCATTCCACCGTCGAAACGAGCGTTTCGTGAGTTTCGCGCGCACGAGATCTGCGTGGTGCATTTACTCTCCACCAAATCGTCCAGACACAGTCGCGAAAATCTTCTCTTCTATCCTCCCATCCTTTCCGGTCAGATATCGTGTCAACGCAGGAGTTATTGTAACGATCGAATTAAATGGACGTCGGTGAGAGAGAAAACAAAGAAAAAGAAACACCTCAGTCGTACCTGTAATCGAGCAAGTGAAAAGAGAAGGCTGTACGACTAACTCGACATCGAGCTACACACACACACACACACTTTTCTCTCTTTCGTGTATGATGTTGTGATTAAAAAATGATCATACAGATTGCGTGTGCTTGTCCGTTTTGTTCCTCAGATCCCTGTAATACCTGTCCTGTTTTTTGAAAAAAAAAGAGAAAAAAAAGAAATGGTTTTTTGCGAGCATGATTTTTGGAATTTTGTGGTGGAACCGATATGGAAAGATATTTCACGTTCAGTTCCGAGCACTGTTTGCATTAGTTACCCCAATAGCTCGTTTGGAAAGGAAGATTTCTGTTTTTTTTTTTTTTTTCTTTGGAACGAACTCAGGACCGTTTTATGGAATGAAAAGGAGAAAATTTTTCAACGTAGATTAAACGAGAGAAATATGTATATAAAAATTGAACGATAATTTCGATACTTTATAGACTTTCGATTAAACGAACCAGTGTAAATATTTGTTCTAGCCGTTTACTGCGCCGATATTTGCATTTATGTCGATAATAACAACGGTGCACGCGCGTATATTTATTTTGCATTCGCGGATATTCGAAACTGATTAGACGCGGTGAAAATCGCGATGAAAGCTTTCGAATAAAAGGATCGACGTGTTCGAGAAGGAGAAAAGAAAAAAGAGAGAGAGAGAGAGAGAGAGAAATATTCGATAGAAATTATACGGTACAATCTTCGTCTAGTTTCGGTTGAAAAGAGAATTTCCAGTTGCTGATTACGCAACGCTATATATCGAACTCATCAGGGACGTGTTTACGTAATAAAACGCGTAATTTCGGCGGCATTGTCAATATCGATGCACACGTAATGAACAGACATCGATAAACGCGCGCGCGGATAACGTGGAGAACAATCAGCCGGTTAATTCGAGGAATAAAACGGCCCTGTTTCTTTTATCACGTGTATGCGAACACTTGCACAAAAATCGCACCTGTGTTCTCTTCTCTATAGTAATTACCAATTCCCAATTGCCACGTAAATAATCCACGTAGTATACTTTATACACGTAGAGAGTATGACTTTCATTTCAAATTTGCCGCGCTTCTTCTTCTTACGGTTACATAACACCCGCGTGGCTTTAGAACGCGACACAGAAATACGTAGCCCTCTTAAGATCCTTAAGATAAACATTGTGCAGGGGGAGCAGCTGTTTCTCAAACCAGATCGTTTAGCGACTCTGAAGCCCCATTGCAAGATCGAGAAGCCGCCGCAGTACACCACGTTCAAGCCCAGTTCGAACAACTGAAGATTTTGCTATTTCTATTTTCTATTGATGTACACACACTCGTCGCGTATAACGCGAGTCACGAGCACGTGAAGAAGAGTAAAACAGCGGCGGAGAGGGAGAGAGAGAGAGAGAGAGGGAGACCGGCGAAATGAATCGACAGGACAAGACTGACACATGTGGCAAGCAATCAAAAAAACCGAGGAAATCGACGCACAACATTCGTTACACACTCTTCTTCGTTCCGTAAAAACGAGAACTCCAAGTGAGATTTTTCGTATTCGTCGATGGATGACTTTACAGTTAACGGAATCCTCGGTGAAACTTCTTTCTTTCTTTTTGTTTCTGTTGTTTCGCGCGACAACGGATACACACTTCTTCCCGAGTTACGAAGGCTATCGCTGCGATCCCTACGAGGAGAACATTGATAACACGCAACTGCCATTCGGTTACGCCGTCGGTATTGCCGGTACCGACGATACCGAGATCTCCAAGAGCGCACGAACGATAATGTCGCTCTCTAATGTTAATCGATAGATTTCATAGTGAAGATCATTTTCTCTCGCAAATAATACTGCCAAATATGTTCCAATACAAGAGACGATTCTGTACGATATCGGAACCAATCAGAATGAAAACTATATGGAAGCGTATTTATAATGCTTACGATAATGTTGTTAATAAAGCGGTGATTTTCAGCAGTTAATGGTTTTATTGATATTATACGAATGACGCGCAGCCGGATATCCGCGCGACTTTATCGATACTTTTCGAACAATTCGCTAACAGAACGTTTTTTTCCCCCGCATCACTGTTACCAAAACTATGACAAAAGACTTTCAATAAAGGAATTGTGCAAAGATCATCTTGTCTCGATTGATTTTCTAAGCGTCGACAAGCTATACCTGATTGTACGTGTTTTAGGTGTGAAATTTTTTACTCTGTCTGGAATCATCCTGATGTACTATGTTACAATTGTTACTTTTGTAGAGACCACATATAATTAAGAAGTGTGACAATTTTTTAAGACACAGAAAACTATTTTTATTATTCAGGAACTACAAAAAAAATGTTTACTTTTCACTTTTATAAATCTTAAACGATCTTAATACATTTCCTGATGTTTCCATTATAATAACAATTAAAGTTAAATGTTCGTTTTACACGCCAAAATAGGTAGGAGGCTATCTCTAAGTAACTAAATAATCTTTAGTTTGCTGTCCTTCTCTCAACGTGCTACGTTATCGACAGCTGATTGAAAACCACTTATCTAAACCATTTACCTACACCGCAACTTCCCCTCAAGCGACAGTGTAAGGACCGAAGAGTAATGAGGGTGGCCTGACTGCCTATTTTCCGGTTATTTCGTCGGGCTATGATCAAATTAACATCAAGAGATTAATTCAGTTATCTTACAATAAACAATTGATGTTTTCATAAATAATTGCATTTCTTCATTTTTCCTGATGGTGGAATTCTTTCCTTGATCTCTAATTTTTAATAAAAGTTACAAACAATTTCTGACTAATCTACCGAATGCGGTATGATTAATTCAATGTTAAATTAATATATTAAGCTGTTTTATTTTGTTAAAACGTAGAATAACTATATTTAAAACTTCCAATTGTTATAAACAACCATCTAAATTGTTATTTAGCAAGTAGCACTATTTATTCTATAACTAAAGTACTTGAAAGTAAGCAAGAAACTATATTTTCCTTTCTACATTATTAGTAATGTTAAAGCAATTAAGAATTTTTTATGAGCATCAGTTAAATACAATAGGGATGACGAGATAGCAATATTAAAGAGAGATAAGGAAATTAATAACAGTAGATAAGGATATCTCTAGAGTAATGAGTAAGACAAGGACAGAAAAAAATTGCGGGCGAGACTAACGCCATCTCGTGTTCGGTGACGCGAACTACCACTTTTTAATAGGAACACAGAATATCAACAGAGGTGTTAGACAAGGATGGCACTAGTGTGCGAGAAGGATAGAGAGAAAACGCTTCCTATTGGCTGACGAGCCGCCATGCTCCACCTCGCAACGGCTAAATCAAGTCGGACAGGAAAAAATGATTAATAACTGTATAATTACGATGATTTTGTGAACTTTTAGAATCGAAGAATCAAGTGTAGACCTTCAGCAACTTTCCCATATACTGTTTAGTGCTCTAATCCCTTTCGATAATTAATTATTAACAATTTTAGTACGGATTGCCGGCAAATTTAGTACAGGATACCGCACATTCTTCCTGTTTTTCATTAATTTTGTAACTTTGCACAAAAAATTTATGCACTTTCATATATGCGTTCGAAAGGCTATTCCCTTAGCTAGTTTCTCATGTAGATTTTAATACACTAGACCCTTTCAATAATTAATTATTAACAATTTTAGTACGCGATGTTGGAACGATACCGCATACCTTTACGGTTTTTCAATAATTTCACAGCTTTATACTAAATTCCCATTCAACTTTCTATACGCGCCTGAAAGATAATTCCCTTAGCAACATTCTCCTCTAATTTTTATTAACATATTCGGTTTAGTTTAGGAGTTATTAAAGATTATATAAGAGAGTTCCCTATTCATCGTACTCGAGAATAGCGGAATGTTATGAACAATTGTTAATATCTAATAAACCAGCTAACTCACGGCTACCAAAATGATTGAAGAATGTAAAGAAAAGTCCATTCTACATTCTACATGCTTAAAAATGCATGATTTATCACGCATATCTATTGAAATAACGAAAATGTGTTGCGATTGAATGCGACGCTTGTAATACTCACCTAAAGAATATTTAATAACTTTTGAACTAAACCGAATATGTTAATAAAAATTATAGAAGAATGTATCTAAAGGAGTTGCCTTTTAAATGCATGTAGTTATTTGTACGAGAATTTAGTAGAAAGCTATGAAATTATTGAAGAACCGTAAAGGTACTTGACGGTGTGCGGTATCGTTCCCGACATTACGTAGAATTGTTAATAACTAATTATTGAAAAAGTTTGGGGCACTAAAAACTATATGAGAAAGTTGCTGAAGGTCCACACTTGATTCTTCAATTCTAAAAGTTCACAAAATCACCGTAATTATTGAGTTATTAATGATTCTTCCCTGGCCGACCAGATTCGGGGCCCGAGAGGCGGAGTATGGCGGCCGCGGACCAATAGGAAACGTTTTCTCTCTGTCCTTCTCGCACACTAGTGCTTTCCTTGTCTAATACCTCTGTTTATATTCTGTGTTCCTATTAAAAAATGGTAGTTCGCGTCACCAGACGCAAGATGGCGTTAGTTTCACATTTCAAATTTTCTGTCCTTGTCTGTCCCTATATCTTTCCTTGTCTAACACACAACACTATTGCCATCCTTATCTACCATTATTTCTTTCCTTGTCTGACTCATTTCTCTAGTGCTATTCGTATCTAGCGATATACGTTTCCTTGCCTCTCTTCTCTATTGTTATCCTCGTTATTCCTATAATATTTAATTGACTTTTATAATAAATTTCTAATTGTCTTTAACAATACTAATCATGTAGACAGTAAAATAAAGTTTGTGGTTTATTTTCAAGTACTTCAATTATGGAATAATTAGTGTTTTGTGTTGAATAATAATTTGGATGGTAGTTTATAATTATTGGAAGTAATAAAAGAATTTGTTGCATGATTTAACTTAATAAAACAGCTAAATTTATTAACTTCGCATTGAATTAACAATCGCACGCAGTAGACGAGTTAGAAATTGTTTATAACTTTTACGTAACATTTCAAAAATAATGTTCCTTTTGTGTAAATTAAGAATGGAACTTTCAGGCCATTACAAGAATCAAGGAAAGGACAGGGAAAGGAAAGAATCAGGAAAAATGAAGAAATGTAATTATTTATTGTAAGATAACTGCACAAAATGTATTTTACAAAAGGCTCCAATATACCTGTATCACTTTACAGCATTTTACAGTTTATTTATTTCCCTCTATGAGATTAGTAAAACACTCACTCTTTAAATAATATTCCGTTGCAAAATTAAATAAACCAGGTCAGGATATCGTTAAATTAACGTCCGTGCTACTAAATTTTCCTTGAAAATGGAGCACTTCGTTTGCTAAGTCGAGTAATTAAGTATATTTTGGCTGAAATGTAGAAGTAAATTAATATACAATTTATGAATACGTTTATTGAGCAATAAAAGGCCAAAAAAGAAGCTGTTCATGCTGACCTTGTTTGGTGAAGAACATGTCGCAGCGAAATTATGCGCACATTGTAAACGCGCCATGAAAACAATTCGTGTTTTGCTAATCTCATTTTCTTAACACAAACAACATATATTAAGTTTTATGCGATGCAATATATTTTATTAAACATGCGCAAATTATGAGAGGCATGTAGTAATCACTGTGTAGAGTGGAAAGTTCGTGATAAATTTTGAAACAGTTAGTTTCAAAGTTTGCTCGCAAGAAGGCAGTTAAAATTTGTGTACGAATTATTAGCTTTCCTCTCTAGTATTTTAGGTAATCAGTTTCTCGTGACATAAACCTCGTGTTAGCGGGCTGTAGAAAATACGTGTATGCAATACAAGTCAGCGTGTACATTTTAAATATTGATAACGGTTTTACGCGTCAATTTTCAAAATTTTATTTCAACTTCAACACGCTAATGTAAATTAATACCGTAGCGATCATGGCGGTACGTTTACAGTTCGAAAATAACAATGAAATTGGAGTTTTCTCCAAGCTAACGAATTCTTATTGCCTCGTAGCAATAGGCGGTTCGGAGAATTTTTACAGGTAACGAAAGATATGACTCGTGCTATTTTACATTATATCTTATCGGCGTTTATCTGTCCGTTACTGCTTACTCTCACGCAATAGTTTTCATGTGTGATAACCTATAACGTACGTTGACATAAACTGCAATATGAATGTTTACGTTATCGTTGATATTACAGTGTGTTTGAGGCGGAGTTAGCTGAAACTATTCCTGTAATTCACGTGTCGCTTGCAGGGTGTCGTATAATCGGACGATTGTGCGTTGGTAAGAGTAATATGGAAATTCTAACCTTACAAATTTTAATTTAGCCGCGCTTTGATAAAAATTGTAAAGAAACAAATAAATTTGGATAGGAAATAGAAATGGACTGTTAGTCCCAAACACTACAACAGATACTGAACTGCAGCATATACGAAATTCATTGCCTGATAAGGTTAAAGTACAAAGAGTTGAAGAAAGACTCTCTGCTCTGGGTAATGTTATTGCATGTAATGACTATGTGGCTTTAGTACATCCTGATCTTGATAGGGCAAGTACTTATCTCAGAGATAATTCTAATTTTATTCCTTCTATCGTACTTATGATTGATATTCTACAGGAAACAGAAGAAATTTTAGCAGATACATTGAATGTAGAAGTATTTAGACAAACTGTGGCAAGTAATGTTCTAGTAGGATCATATTCTGTATTATCAAATCAAGGTGGTTTAGTACATCCAAAAACCTCTATACAAGATCAAGATGAATTGTCATCTTTGCTACAAGTGCCACTTGCTGTAAGACAGTTTTATTTATTTAAAGAGTAAAATGATTTTGAAAGAAAAAGAATTCTAATGCTTTTTGAAATATATAGGCAGGTACAGTGAATAGAGGCAGTGATGTTATAGCTGCAGGAATGGTTGTAAATGACTGGGTAGCCTTTTGTGGTATGGATACAACTTCTACAGAACTTTCTGTGATTGAAAGTGTTTTTAAACTTAATGAATCTACACCAGCTGCTATCACATCAACTATGCGTGCATCACTTATAGAAAGGTAATGTATCTTTAACTGTTAGACACTATAATATGATAATATTAAATATTTTTTTATTTGTTTCAGTATGTCTTAAGTAAAATTGAACTCTCTGGGAGAGAATAAACAAGCAAAAAAAAAATGGTTGACGGTAGATTGTACTATGTACATGTACATAAGTTTAATATTTATGTCAAGACAATTGCACAAGACAATGCTGTACTTTGGACAATACACCTACAGCAAGCACATTTTTCTGTATGATTCCAACATAGCATAACATAGTATTGTAATGATATCATGTACTAAAATTTATATAAAATGCATTATTAAGTTCTATCTTAACAACCAAAGTAACTTGTACTGTGTTCTAATTTTGAAACTCTCTGAACAAATACCTGAAAAACCAACAATCTCAATAATAAATCTCAAAATTATATATAAGAAATTAATACCTACCTTTATTGTATCTAAAAATAATGAAATAAATTCGATATCGTGTAGAAAATTATCTGTAGGATTTGATCATTACGTTCAGCGTTGGAAAAGAAAACGTACCATTCAATTTTGTTAAAATGTTTCTAATGTATGAATTTATAAATATAACTGCATATAAAACGGAAATATTCTATTGAAATATATTTTAATCGATAATATTCTCTTTGAATACAAACATCTTTCGTGTTAAAAATGTAAATCATTTCAATTCTGACCCTAACTGTCTTACATAGTAAATGAACTATTGTAAACAACATTGTGCGGACCAGCCTGCTAATTAAATTTATTACAAATAAAAAGGGGCAGCCTGGATTTTATTAATTTTGATTAACAAGACTAGAGTAATGGTAATTGTTCAGCATGTAACAACTCGGAAGCAGCAGCGGAATCTGCACACATAACTAATGTAATGCCTGCTTGATAAGATGCAGGAATACGAATGTGAGTTGCACCAGTAGATACGTTATTTAGTTGGCGTCTCTGAGTCATTGCTTCGCGTACCATATTTACAACTTGACCTAATTAACGAAAGAAACAATGTTACTATTACTTATACTATTCCATTATGCACCAATCTAAATAAACATACCGAGAACATTGAGCTTTCGCCACTTTTGATCCATAGTAGCGAGTTGAGTTAAATCGGTATTAGGATTCCAGTGAGCTAAAATATCCGCTCTTCGTACTAGTAAAACACTAGGACTTACAAGTTGATGCCAAACGTACTAAAATAAATAAAAATTTGCATATTATTCGAGTATTTCGTTTATTTCACTTGTGACCAACCTGTTCTGGTAAACATTCTAATGGATTAGTTAAATATATTCCTGCTTGTCCCACACCAAATATCATTTGATGATGCCATGCATCAGGAATATCACACCCCTCTCCACAATGTTGTAAATTTAACGTCGCTATGGGTGCAGCACCTAAAATACATTAGAATGTTAGTTTTGTTAAATTATATATTTCATTGATTACATACCTCTCGATATCCAATAGTGTAGCCAATGAGACAAAGAAACTTTCCTTTCCGGATAAAATGCAAAAAACTTTGTTATTACTGATCCATTTGTACATAATGCTATACCACGTGCGAGATCTCTATGAGTCGATCCTGCCACTGATCGACTGTATAGATATCGCGGTAATGGTGTCCCCGGTTCCCTTTGTCTAGTATTCACACCTTTTACTAATGTTTCCAACGAAAAGGATACATTTAATGCCAACTACAAAAATCATCGTTTAAGTAAAATACTGAAACAGTGCAAAAATTTCATAATAATAAATATACCAAAGCATTTATTGCAGCAGTAGCACCACATGCGGAAGTTCCAATTTGAGTTACTTGTTTTACTGTAGCTTCTTGCTCACTCCATAACATAACTTTCTCAACTGGTAAAAGGCCATCTAATCGTTCGTTAGATAATTCGTTTTCCTACATATATGCATGCAAAAATTTACATAAGTTATCATAGTAACGTGTAGCATATAATTATATAAGAAATTAGAAAAATATTATATTAACTAGATTCGAGTCACCACTCTGATTAAATGCAGCTTGCTTATTGAGCATCAATTTCTTTGCCATCATGCGGTGGTAAAGAGTTGAACTGAGATTCACTCTCCTAGAATTTAAACTTGAGTTTTCTGGAACAGAAGATGATGAGGAATCGACCCACAATTCGGCGTCCGAATCTCTATTGTCACCAGGTGAAATAAGGTCTCCACTTGTATTGTGATATCCGTATGATTCTCGTAAAGGACACCTTGTACTACGATACGTTCCAGTAGTTTCCCATTTTCCTATAGATTTACAATTCAATATAATAGTTTAAGTAAATAGTGTGTGTTCACAATGTACTAAATCAGCATAAATAATGTACCAGCTCCACTACTAGTACTTGGCATCCACGATGAAGGATAACTTGATTTTATACTAGGTTCTAGTGCAGGTTGGTTACTGCTGGAACATGGCTGAGGTTCTGTGTTATTCACATTTTGTACACTTTGCTTTGGATTTTGTGATGTAGTTGCAATTCCTTGTTTAGCCACAACTTTACCACTACTTAAGTCATTTAATACTGGATCTGGCTCTACATTATCTAATGCTATATTCTGTATATCTTCATTTATAGAGGCCAAATCACTATCTCCTGTATCCTATATTGACAATATTAAATTAACAAGTAATTTTATAATTTTATCACAATAATTTAATACCTGCTCACAAGAAGGCCCAGGATCAAAGTCCATTTCTAAAAAGTCCATCTCTGGACTTGATCTACCACTGTGACATTGTCCCTCCTCTTCGCGTTCTTCCACTTGTTCTTGATTTACTTCTTCCTTTTGAACCAAATGAACTGCATCATCATTTCCTTTATATGTATAAATACAATAATCTTCCCCATCTGACATATCACCCTCATTCCCAGAACTTGAATCCCTCCTCTCAGTTAGCTCTCTTTGTGTATTCTAATTTACAAAAATGTAGTTACCGTTACATAGCACATTATCACTAAATTATGATCAATTAGTAAAACTTACCTTTTGTAACCCACTTGGCCCTGCCACTTCTCTATTCCCATTAATGTTAGGTCTTAAGAAACAACATGTTCCTTGACTTGTTGAACCTATACTACCCCCTATATTATTTAATATGCTGTTAGACCCATAAGATCTAGATGCCCAGGCACTATCCATTTCAGGACTAGAGTCTGAACTGCATGACACTTTTGAGGGACACTTTTCAATTCCAGACATATAATCTACATTATTTTTCATATCAATATCCTCATTTGGTTTGGTTGTTGATAAATTTGACTGTATTGTGGATGAAATTGATGCAGAACTATTTAAATGTATAATAGGATTTGATGTACCGCCACAGTTATAAGGACCTGATATACAAGTATGATTCACATGTGTGTTATTTTGACTGGAAGATAAATTTAAGTGCATCTGAGACTTAGGCAAATTTAAAGCACCCGAGTTCATTACAGTCTTATGCTTCAATTGACTTGTAACAGCAGTGTTCACAGTTGGAGATCTAATGTTGTTGGTATGTAAAAACATAGAAGATACACTTGCATTCGTCATATCATCATTTGTGTCTTGGTCCACAGAATTGGTAAAATTACACGCAGTGGCTTGCGTGGATCTTGTACCATTAGTAAATGTAACTGAACCTTTAGAAGACAAAAGATTCTTGGCACCATTGTCTCCCAATTTGTTATTTAACTTCACTTGATCTCCATTTAATTTACTTTCAAGTTGTATAACTTTAGCTGGTTTAGTTGACTGTTCAATTGGTTGATTACCATTTTTTTTTAAACTTCCATCTACTTTTGTTTCACTTTTATTCTGGCTATTGCTTGCACCTTCTTCAGAATTCATATTATTTTTAAACTGATAGCAGTAAATTATCTGCTAAAAAATGCATTAGAATAATTCTTTACTTCCTTGTTTCATGTTGCAGATGTACTAGATTCATATACGAGTAATTAAAGATTATTTCATAATTAATGCGACATTAAGGAATTATATTAAACAGTAATAGTATAGTCGTCTCACAAAAATGTGTTAGTAAGTAATATTTACCTTCGAATTATTTTCCAACAGTTCCACGATTATACGGATATTAATACCAGTTTAGTTTCAAACAAGCTTAGATTACGAAAAGCTAAACGTGTCAGTCTTTGATTAACAAAATTACTAACAAATAAAGAACTTGTTTGCCTGTGGCAATGCTGTTATGTCAAGCGAAAAGAACGAAAGGCCTCACTAACATTTTCTCCCGTATTAGTTCCGGAAGTCAGCTGATTATTAGAAACAAGTGTAACTGCACGAAGGTTCGTTATTTTTGCGTGTTTTTCCGGAAAAGCTACTTAGTCATTTATAACAATAGATAGCAATGCACATCGTAATTTATTAACCCGGACACGAGCGACTTTGAGAGAAAATTTTCTCGTCTTTTCTTCACGTTAACGGGATCGTCAAGTTCTCTCAGTATTTACAAAATATTATCGCACGCGTTGAATGCACAATGCGTCTATGATTTGCCTGAAAGGAAATGCTATCTAGAAAGTCTCTTTTAAATCAGAAATCATTGTAATATAGTGTACAAATAATCAGGTCTTGTAGTTCAAGGAAAATATCAACCAATCGTAAAGATTCGTGTAACTACTTAAGTATTTGATAGTAAATAAAATCTTTTTAGTAATAGAAAACGAATAATATAATTTCCACATAGACACTTCAATTTTACGATAACAATATTTAAATAGATAATGCGTCTCATGAGAGAATTTATCGCAATATGTTACACGCCTCACGTTTCAGATATGCTTGCAACGCATTATCTAGGAATTTAGATAACGTCAAAGGAATGAATGTAAAAAATCCAGGATCGTTAGTCCCTAGAATCACGTTGCTTTGTTTTCATTGAGAACGAATTAAATCATTTTTTTTATCTGTAATTTTTCTTTGATCCAATGGTCGAAAAATTACTTTTTAACCTAGAACAAGTACAATTCTCTTGTACATAAGAATTTTTTCTTCAGGTTTTAAGCAGCTAAGTCGGACGTATGGAACTATGTTTTCCTGTACGTAAATAAGTAAAAGGTTATCAAATCTTTGTGCGTGTCGAGCGTTAATTTGATTAATTAAATACTACTCAGAATGAATGTTGTACGAATTAATTCAAGAAATGTGATTTTTATTCTTCTGGCAATTTTCTCGACTACTGTGAAACAAGCTCACATGGGTTACGGTAAATTCTCGTTCATTCGGGCAATTTTACAAATTGTTTTTTAACGTATAAATTGATATTTACTGTGTAATATTTTGATTGTAGAGAGTGCAATTAAGTATGCACAAAAGGAGGCTAATGTAAACTCTACACCGGCATATAGTAGTACAAAGGTAATATACAAGATTACGTTGCTTCAATCAACAAACAACAGAATGGTTAAACATTTGTGATATTTGTAGGAAGAAAATGCAAGATTATGTCCTAGTGGTATTGCTTGTTCAGAATTGAGTGGAGGGTGTTTGAAATGTAATTTGAATCCTAATTGTGTGTATGGAGCTGTATATGTTGCCAATTGTTCTGTTTTGGAACACATTGATTGTGTTGTAAGTGGCATAACATATATTATTATCTTATCTGTTATATATCTATTAATGACCAATACATTTACATTTAAGGGTGAACAATTCTTTCAAAAGAAATACATATGTCGTTATTGTTATCAAACTGAACATTGGGAGCATGAATGCCATCAAAAGAATTCCTGTAGCTCTGTAGCTTCTCCAAGACAGTATTATAGAACCAATTGCACAGTAAATGGTGATATACTGTGCCTAGGAAGACGCAGATTTATGAAAAATTTGTTGTGCAATTGGACTGTAGGATATCGTTGGTCAACAGCTTTAATTTTAAGTATCACTCTAGGAGGCTTTGGTGCTGACAGGTATGTTATATTTACCGAAATATTAAGTGTTAAATAACACTATTCCTGTATTCTTAATGTGTATTGCAGATTTTATTTGGGTCATTGGCAAGAAGGAATTGGCAAATTGTTCAGTTTTGGAGGACTTGGAGTATGGACATTGATAGATGTAATGCTTATTTCTATGAGATATTTAGGTCCAGCAGATGGATCACTCTATATTTAAATAAATTGAGATAAAAGCAAATTTATTAATTACTGATATAATTAGTATGTAAGAAAAAGCAAGTATTTTATTTATTACTTCCAAAAGAACTGAATTGTAATGTGATATGTATATAAAAGTTAAATAGATTTCTTTCATAAGTATAAAATATTTATTAGTCTTAAGATGTTGTGTAATTTGTACAGTCTTCTATGCTTATTCACATAAAATTATATTATTAATGTATTGTTTTTAATTACATAATATAACATTGCTTTATTATATCTTCTCAATCTTTGTGTAATTATTCTAACTTTTTTTTCAATTTCATTCATGTTTATAATTTAAAAAGTGGGAGAAACCTCCCCTCTTCTAGACACCCCCTCTGGCGGAATCATTCATAAGAAATGTTCTCGAAATTAGTCAGTAGTTAGTTGCTCGTGAAGTTTGTAACACATTGGTGGTTGTTTGTAGTTCGTGAAAGGAAGTAGGGTGATACTTTCAAGATGTATGTATATAATAAAGAAGTTACTTAAAAGAGTAAAAAGACAATATTGTATTCTGTATCTATTACGCATCTTTTATGTTACTAATTTACTAGAGTAATGTATTTATCGAATGTTCCGAAGCACATAACCTCAAAATAAAAATGTCTAAATGCAGGAAGGACAAAAGTCTGTCGAAACTTGACAGCATGGCAGATGTACGGGATATCTTAGATATCGAGGTACCTACTACCAGTGAGCTGACCAAGGAATCAATTATTGGCAGTGACAAGAAGAATCGGAAAAAATATGAATACAAAGTACCAAAGAGGCCTGAGGGCATGCATCGCGAAGTCTTTGCATTGCTCTGTAAGGATAACAACGATGTACCACCGTTGTTTCCAACAGATACAGCAAAAGGATATAAACAAGTTAGAGCCAAACTTGGAATGAAAAAAGTTAGACCATGGAAGTGGACACCGTTTACTAATCCAGCTAGGATGGATGGTGCTGTCTTTCATCACTGGAGAAGAGTTGCAGATGCTGGGAAAGAATATCCTTTTGCCAAGTTCAACAAGAAGGTTCCTATTCCAACATATACCAATGCAGAATATGTTCAACATTTGGTTACAAATGGTTGGACAAGAGCAGAAACAGACCACTTATTTGATTTGTGTAGGAGGTTTGATCTAAGGTTTATCATAATCAAAGACAGATGGGATTGCACAAAATTTCCTGCAAGATCAGTAGAGGATTTGAAAGAAAGGCAAGTAAATGTTGCAATATTTTTAATTTCTTGCTATTTCCATATGTATTTTATTGTTTAGGTATTATCAAGTGTGCGCAGCTTTAACAAAAGCAAAATCTCACAGTGACAAAGTTTACACATTTGATGCTGAACATGAGAAACGCAGGAAAGAACAGTTAAAGAAGTTGTTTGAAAGAACACCAGAACAAGTGGAAGAAGAACAAATGTTATTAGCTGAATTAAGAAAAATTGAACAAAGAAAGAAGGAAAGGGATAGAAAGACTCAAGACTTACAGAAATTAATAACAGCTGCTGATCATCAAGCTGACCCAAGAAAGAATGAAAGGAAAGCTACAAAGAAGAGTGGTACTTCCTCTAGGAATAGACCAAACAAAGCTGACACATCTCATGTAATTTATCAATAATAATTCCTGTCTTTGTGCTCTATTTTACAGGCACTGAACTCACATTTAAAGTTGTGAAAATTTTCAGACAGTGGAATCTGCTGGAATAAAGTTTCCAGATTTTAAAAATAGCGGCGTATCGCTTCGTTCTCAGCGAATAAAATTGCCGAGTAGTTTAGGTCAAAAGAAGATGAAGGGTATTGAACAAATGCTGAACGAACTTCGAATAGGTATCTATAAATCCGATTTATTTTTCATCTCACTTGTTCTCCGATGAAACGTTTCTTAACGCGATGTTTTCCCAGAATTAAACCCACCGCCCACAGAGCAGATATGCCAACAATTTAACGAATTAAGAAGCGACATTGTTTTACACTACGAGCTTCGAAGCGCATTATCGACGTGCGATTACGAGTTACAATCCCTGAGGCATCAATACGAAGCTTTAGCTCCCGGAAAGGTACATACTTTTAATGGTCAATAGCGAATCTCAATTTACCTGAGTATAACATGATACCAGCATCCAATTTTCAGACATTAACGATACCACCCGCATTGTTACCGAAAACAGAGCCCGAAGTAAAAGCAGATATAATAGATGTGGTGGGCTCACCCAGCATGCCATCCATTAGTCATTGATTTTTCAAGTAAATTAGGTTGATAATAAAAATTGTAAATAATTCTCTGTACGCTGAAACGCGGTATTCAATTCATTGGGTACGCTTCTGTAACGTTTCACTTCCTGTATAATTTTTTTACTTTGTATTAGACAATGATTAAAAATAATTTAACGTTAAAGTTGTACGTTTCTCCTCGATACTTTTCCTATCGCAAGGTTTATCAAACGAAGAATGAAATAGACACAAATTACTTATATATCTGTGTATTTTATATTGTCGACAAAAAGTAACAATGTACGGTCAAACCGTATAATTTATCTACAACAATCTACAATAGATTACAATATGTTGTCTTGTTTTTTGTTGAGGGTTAGAGGGAGGTAGGAATATTAGAATAACGGGAACAGGGTTTTCTTTTTCGGAAGGAACGGGAAATCGGGTTAAAAGTGTGGAGGAAAGATGGTCGATGCAGGCCTTTCTTCGTTCGTGCTCCGTTAATCGCGATACAGTTGACCGTTTTATTATTATTATTTTTTTTTTAATTCTATATTAAATTACTTGGTAGCTCTAGCCGTACTTGGTACGGAATAATGCATATATATCTGCTTCTTAATGATCGATAACCTACCGCCCGACTTTTCCATCTACGCCGTGCCGTGAGGACTCTCTCGGTCAAAGTTAAGTGTAAGGAAAAACTGGGCACAACGCTGGCTGGCATCGTTGACCCGCATATCCGATCCATTGTTCGCGGATCGTGCATCCACTCGTCTGTCTCTTTGCCTATCTCTCTCTCTCTCTTTTTCCCCCTCTCAATAATATACATATGTGCTGACGCTTCGATCGCGGTCATCCTGATAGCACGATGCCTTTTATTTTTGGGATATTGCGACATTTTTTAAATTTTGTTAAATAATGGAATATGCGAATACATATTTCGATTAATTTCTCATTGTATACACGAGAAAAGTATTCAAAACGAATTTCAAACTATACGTTGAATATTCAATTTGTTCAAATCAGTCAAGCCGAATAATGTACATAATCGTAACACGGTGGAATATGAGAAAGCAACATCTCGTGAATTTCAAGAGTGGTTTGCAAAGAAACTTTTCCATAGATACCGTTCCCGAAGGAGATGCATATTTTCATAGACTGGTGCTTGGGACGAATACCAAAAGGGAATACATATTAAGCATTTCGAATATCATTTCGTCTTTGGGCGTGAAATGAAGTAACACCATTTCTGAACCGAGTTCTAAGTTCACGTCTAAAAGAAAAATCTTTAACCCCGGGAATCGGACAACTGGAAAGAATGATGAACGATTGAACGCGTCAGCTCATCTCGGTGGTTTCCGATTGAATTGTCACTTCTCTCGGGTATTTTTCCGGATAATAACTTATCCTTTCATTTTTCACGCGACGAGGAAAGCACGATCTGGTTGGGTCTGGCACAGCAAACGGGTCGGGTGGAAAGAGAGAAAAAAGTTCGAGCCACGAATTAAGGAACACCGCGGCTTGGCAAAATACACGAGCAATACGTGTCTATATGTATATGTACACACAACTGCCATACATGTATACATATATACACATACCTGTAGCAATAAACAGTGACAATAATAACAATAATCGTAGCGGTAATAATAATTCGATAACAATCATAATGAATTTACGGACCACTTGTAAATGCACAGCAATTTTCGTTCTGTTCTCCCCGTTTCATTGCTCTTCCTTTTTTCTCCGTTGGTTTTTCTTTTTTCTGTTTTTTTTCTTTTTACGTTACACAACGCGAAACCGTCCACTAGGGTTATTGATTCGACAACGTTCGAGCGATCCTGCAACTGACCAAAAGAAGAGATTTGTCTCG